AAGATTACAAAAGATCATTGCCATAACATGAATACATAATTGCCATTCAGTTAACTAGTGAGAAAGGATATGTAAAAGAAGAATTTAAAAGTGATTCTGAGGTTGAAATCCATACAGTTGGGATAATAGCAGTATCGTTTTCAAACACAATGAAAATGAGCAGGTTGCGAGGAAAAATTATGATTTTAAACATACTGAGTTCAAATTTTACATGGCAGTAATGACAGCCAGCCAAAAATGTCATCTTGAGATAGTTGGAACCATAAATGTACATTTGGGAATCATCTGCATGGGAGTGATAGTTGGAATCTTGAGAGTGAATCAGCCCAAAGTGTGGATAGAAAGAAAACCATCCAGAGAAATACCTAAAGGAATGTGTGGCTGTGCCCATGGAAGAAGGAGAGAGACTACAGGAGAGGGAGAGACTAGACCAGGGTAGAACAGGAAGAAATAGGGCTGCCGTTGCTCATAGCCACTAAAGTTAAGGGGATTTCCCAGTGAGGCATTAAGGTTTTCTGAAAGAGATGCTCTTGATAGGAAGAATAATTCAGTGACCTTATTTTTAGCAGTAATCTGCTATTTTAATGTATTAAAATTATGTTTGAAAGTTCATTCCTACCTTGTTTTTTTCTTTTGACTCCAGATCTCTCTATGTCGTCCTCACTGTCCTGGAACTCACTATGTAGACCAGGCAGGCCTTGAACTCAGATCTGCTGCCTGTGCCTCCCAAGTGCTGGGGCTAGAGGTGTGCAACAGCATGCCCAGCTCTTCATTTCTGCCTTTGATGGATAGATTTTGACATCTTCCTTTATTTGGAAAACAGTAAATTAGCTTATTTCATCAGATAAATTGCATGAACGCTGTTTCACACAGAAAATATCAAGATATAAATATTATTTACTAGTTAAAGCTTTGTCTATAAAAATCATGTCACTTCATTTTCTTTTAAACTTTCTTTTTATTTATTCTTTGTGTCTTTCACATCATGCATCTCCATCCCATTCATTGCCTCATCCCTTCTTATCCACCCTCTTCTCTTGCAACCCTCCCCCCAAATAAAATAAAATAAAATTTAAGAGAAAAAAAAATAAATAAATGAAAAATCTTGTCATAAACTCATCATGGAAGCTGTAGTGTGACAGCGAGTCATGCAGTATGCCCTTTTATCCATCTGTCTTTACTTGCAAGTGTTTGTTGCCAAGAGTCATTGGTCTGGCTTGAGGCCTCTGGTTTCTGCTACACCATTGATACTGGGCCCTCACTGGAGCTCCTCTTAGAAAACCTATTGTCGACCTGTGTTATGGAGATCCTGCAGCTTTGGATCTACAGGACCTGCCCCTTCCTGTGCTCTAGCAGATCATAGATGGGATGGATGTTGGGGTGGAGCAACTCATATCCCTGGTTCTGGGCCTGGGTAGTTGCTGGGTTGGTCAGCCCATCAGCTGTCCCTCATCCTCACCACCAGGGTGAGCTCTCCAGCATTGCCCTGGCTAGCTCATCCTTTGAGTGATGAGCAAGACATTGGACCAGTTCTCCTGCTCTAATGCCCTGGGGCTGGCTCACGCACACCTACACCACCAGGGCCAGCTCTACTGTGTTGCCCAGGTGAGAGGTTCTGGGGCCACTCTCCTGAGTGCTACAGCTGGTGAGAGGCAGGAACGGCTCTGCAGCTCTTATGACCTAAGAGCCAGCTCTTCCTCCCGCCAGTCACTTCATTTTCTTAAACAAATTCATGGTCTTTGAAATTAGAAAGGAGCCTCAAAAAAAAAAAAAAAATCCTGTGCTGATTATACATGGTGATAGAATGGTGCTGATGCTGTGTGGTGATGGTATAGTGATGGTGTGTGGTGACAGTATGGTGCTGATGGTGTGTGGTGATAATATGGAGCTGATGCTGTGTGGTGATGGTATGGTTGTGGTGGTAGTAGTATGGTGCTGATGGTGCATGACAGTATGATGAGGTGATACATGGTGACATATAGTGCTGATGATGTATGGTGATGTTCCTGATGGTGCATGATAACAGTATGATAGTTGCAATTACTTACTGAATAGTCTAGCATATCTTTTGTTAAGTGTTTTGTATCACTTAACAGTATTTACTGATTATTTACTGTGCACCAGAAATTAACCTGGAAACCTAAGATAGGTTAGTAAACAAGGCAAATTGAAAGTCTTGACTTAAAAGAGTTTTTATTTAGTACAATCAAACAAATCCTAACTAGTAAGTATAATGAATATATAGAACACAAGAAGATGGATATTGTGGGAAATCAGAGCAAGGTAGAAGGAGTCAAGAGTACTGTGTCAGGGTTGGATAATGGAGCTGGGTTGTAGTATTATGACGGTGGCAGAATATGTAAGCTGAGAAGTTCATATTGAAGGTCAGTGTTCAAATATTGGAGAGTACCAGGAAATGAAGGAATGTCTGCAAAGGTTGGAACAAGTAAGTAAGGAGCAATAAAAGGTGAGTATTATTCAAAGTGATCCAGGGAAAGAATGGTAGGTAAGAGGTAGTGAGGAGGGAGGGCTTGTTACTACAACACAATATATCCGGGTCTGTCTGTCCATAGTTACCACGAGAGTTCTCATTTACCGATGAGGAAACTAAGACACAAAATCAAATAACCCACTTCATGACTAGAATAAGAAATTAACTGTCTTATCCAGCTACATGTGGACACTTTCAAAGTGATTTGTTAATTCTTTGTGACCCTCTGCAGAATATTAGAAGGAAGGACAACAGCTTGATAATTCATTTAGTAGATCTGCTAATTGTCTTTCTGCAAACTAACATGACCATTTATGGGGCTTGTAATTTCATCAGTTTTCTCAATTGCATATGACTTCTTTGGAAAGAGAATTGTTCTTCTTAACACAGGCTTCTGACCAGAACAAATCCAAATTTTAGCTTAGTTCTCCTAGCCTTCTTAGAGATAGGGATACATTCATGATTATATGAATCAGTGTAAAGATAATTGCAGATTATCTACCTGACATATACCCTATTCTCAGATGCTTCTATGCTTTTTTTTTTTTTTAGCAATTTTATATGGAAAATATTTTTTTTTTTTTTTTTGGTTTTTCGAGACAGGGTTTCTCTGTGTAGCTTTGCGCCTTTCCTGGAACTCACTTGGTAGACCAGGCTGGCCTCAAACTCACAGAGATCCGCCTGGCTCTGCCTCCCGAGTGCTGGGATTAAAGGCGTGCGCCACCACCGCATTATTTAAGTGACAGGAAAATAAATAAGAAATTTAGAAAAATATATGTGTGCCTAATCATCGCACTTTAAATCAATCTAAATCAGTATAAGTGACCAGAAGGATTTGAAAGTCACTGTAGATCATTTACTTTCTTGTTACACATGAGGCTGAAAGTTAAATGAGGTAAATGTCTTAGATTTGGAATCAATCCAAATTTGTTTATTTATTACATTTATGTATGTGTGTGTGCTTGCGTGTGTGTCTGTTGTGTGGAGGTCAGAAGATAACTTGCACAAGTCTCCTTGCTCCTGCTATGTGGGTTCCAGGAATTGAACTCAGGTCAGAAGGCTTGTCAGCACACACCTTTATCCACTGAGCCTTTTCACCAGCTGGTTTTTATGATTAGTAAAATGTTTAGGGTCTGGAGAGATGGCTCAGAGGTTGAGATCACTTGTTGCTCATGCAGAGAACCTGGGTTCAGCTCCTCAAATCCACGTGGTTCACAATCATCCCTACCTCCCTTTTCAAGGGATCCTACACCCTCTTCTGATCTCTGGGGTCAACAGGCACGTAAACGCTCATGCACATAAATAAATCTAAAAGTGAACTGTTTAGAATTTGCTTTGTAGAGGTGATCATTTAAAGAATAGATCTTTGCTAGGTCTGTGATTATTTATATAATGCTTTGTTAATCAGATAATAGAAATGAGAAATTACTAAAATCACTAAAATATTTGGTGATTCCTAGTTGATTATTTTAACAGTTTGGCACTGACGTACTATTGATCATTGATCTGTCTCAAGTAAGCATTATTGTAAGAAGGGATCATTGGTTAAACTTAAATAATTTCAGGGTAAATCAGTGTCCTCTCATTGTACTTTACAAGGTTCTTTTGTTTTCACAGCTAACAGTTTTGATTAAAAGGATTAAAATTCAAAAATAGTAAGTAGGATTCAGTTGAATCAGCCTTCACAATTATCATAAAACATTATAGTTATTCAGTAAAAGCAAATGACATGATTTTAAGAATAATAAAATTTTAAAATTAAAATCTTACAATAAAGTCTTAGTTCTATGACCTTCATGGTGTTAAACATATGGACAAAAGGAAGCCTGTGCTTAAGATTTAAACACAAACAATGAACTCTACTATTCAAAAGTTACTCTCAATAATAATTTGGAGATATTTTGAGCATATCCAGAATATATACTGTTGTGTGCTGTTGACACCGAAATGTGCCTGTTGCTGATAATTAAAATGATCATTGTTACTAAATGTATTAGGTAGGATGTTTGAATATGGTTATCGTTGTGTTGTTCTGTATTTTAGAATTACTGTGACTAACTTCTCAATACCCGAAAATAGCTGCAGCACCACAGTCTCTGCTGCAGTTAGACTCCTGCATTCTTTTATCCAGTCTTATTTATGATTGCATTTGGGGAGCCTTCGTTAGTATGTAAGAGTTGCACAGCTATTGAGCCTTAACTATTCAAATATTTTAGCATAATGTTTCCATCAAAGACACTCATGACTTGTTCTTACCAAAGTTTAAAATGTTGCTTCTCTACCTCATTGTCAGGCAAATGCCATGGGCAAAAGCTGAAGATAATAACTTAAGATTTATGTCTCGCGCTCAGAGGCAACAGTTGTCGTGAATGACAGTTTTGAAGGCCCTAAACTGACATCAAAAGTTTCCGATGATCTAGTTAGGTCAATTAATGTTAATTTTTATCTTCCATTAAGTTCTTTTAATGTCCCCTTCCCACTCTTGTTTTCTTTCTTTCTTATATTCTAGCCAAGCCCAATACCAAGTCCTGTTCTGGGGCAAAAGCCAAATGCTAGTCAGTCCTTGCTTGCATGGTGCAAAGAAGTTACAAAAAACTACCGGGGTGTGAAAATCACTAACTTTACTACATCGTGGAGAAATGGTTTATCTTTTTGTGCAATCTTACACCACTTTAGACCAGACTTAATGTAAGTAGAAATGTCATAAATATTTGTAAATAACAGGCATTTTTAAAAGAACACAGAATAATTTCTTAGCATGTATCCTAAAATACTTGACTATCTCTGTTTTTGAACTATAGAACGTTCTTTTTTTTTTTTTTGAAAAGTATATGCCAGAAAACCAAACTTTCTCTCAGTACCTAAAAATGTTTTTTTCTATTTTTTAAATTGATTTTTCTCTTTAATCTTATTAAAAACTGGCTTTATTATAAAATTTTTATTAGTGTTCAAATAAGAGACAAATAAGCCTGTAGCCCTTTGTATATTGCTAATAAGGGATTATCTAATGGTAAATTTCCTTAGTGAAGCTAGTCTCCGCTCCTCTGCCTTAATTTCTCTTTTAGATTGAAAGCTTCAGGCAATGAAACATGTAATCACTGTTTATTTATTTCCGTACTTTTCCACACTATTAGTTTTGTTGATTGAACGGCTATGAAATTGCTAGTTACCCTTTGGTATTATTGAATATCAGATTTTTAGCTTCAGTTTGTTTGACAGTTATTTTTATCAAATGTTACATATTCCCACTGTGCCATTTTCTCCCTTAGTGACTACAAGTCTCTGAGCCCTCAAGATATTAAAGAAAACAACAAAAAGGTAAGCAGTGCCGGCAGGGCACGATTTCAGTGTTGGCTGCATGGCAAGTCTGTATTCATTTGAGAAAGGCGATGGTATTGGATGAGGTCCTAACTGCAGCTTACCGAGGTGGCCTGCTTCCTGCAGTTTAAATCGAATGCATAGTTTCCTCCGGTTTGTTGTAGACTCTGAAGATCACAATGCGAAGCAGACATCAGAGCCAGTGCATGCGCGTCATTAACTGTTAAGTATTTCATAAACCAGATTGCTTTTAGTGCAACATTGAGTTTTTGAAGAATATACCCAAAGCTTTCATAACTATTATGTCATTTTAGAAAAATATTTTAGGAGATGAAAGCAGGAACCTAAGGGGTAAGCAAAAAAGTATACACAGGCTTGTAAATGCAAAGCAGTGATAAACAACAGTTCTTCTTTTACTTTCTATCCATATATAATTATATAATTGATCAGAACTTCCCAACTGGCATGTGAGGATGTTGATCCCATCAGCCTCAGGACAGCTGCATAGAGAAGATTTGCTGGTGCCTCGTGGGCCAGCTGAGTGGGGCTAAGGCTGGTGAATGTGTTTATCTCGTGTGCGGTATAGTATATGTGCAGAGAAAGCAATATCAAGCTCTGCTCACAATACATACTCAGTGTTGGTATTGAATTGAATTTCTCAATTGAAAACCAATGTTATTGTTGTCCTAGAATAGGCATTTTAACCTGTAGATTCTATCTGTAAGTCTGTCTGTAGATAGGATTCAGCAAGTCCTTGAACACAGTTGCAGGAAAACGTATTTTGTATAATGTATCATGTCATAATTCTGTGACTGAACTTTTGTATTTCCTTCAGTTGTGAACGTGGTGACAAATCATAGTTGTATTCGCCATGCTAAAGGCTATGTCACCGGTATAATTCATATATCTTCATATCTTATGACAGTTGTTGGAGAGCTCTGCAATGACAGTTTGGAACGTCTTCAAATGATTAGTTACTGACTGGGCAGGGAAGCACACTCCTGTTATCCCAGCACTTTGAGGCTGGAGGCAGGAGGATTAGTTCAAGGACCTTGGTCAGCCTGGGCTACATGAGATTGTGTATTTGTGTGCATATGTGTGTATATTCACACATATATTAATTAATGTGTTAATTTAACCATATTTTACTGTTTCCCAAATTCAGTTTTATATTTTAATAGTTGTACTTTTAGTGTAACTGGCCCTTTGTACTTTGTATGCTTTATAGCTATACGACGTTACTCTCAGAACGGAATCCATTGCCAAAGATCTCAGAGAACAAGGTGGTAAATAACCTCTGGCCGGGACAAAAATTTTAATATACTTTAAATCATTAAATTACAGGAACTATCACTTTTTTTTCATCTTAGAATCTCGGTAGAAGTTTAATTAACAAGAATTTAAATCAAAGGAAATTTTTTGCTTGATGTGAGTTGTAGAGTTATAATACTTAAAACTGTCATTTTTTTGTAAATAGAAATATGCAACCCCAAAGGGGTAGTCTTTGAAAATTACTCCCTATTCTTCATAGAGATTGCCTTTTAGGGGCTAGGAATTTAACTAAGAAGAAGAGAACTTGAAGGGTCTGGGGTCAGTCCCCAGCACCTTCTGGTAGGCATTCTACAAAGTAAATCCTTCTCATGAATTACCTCTTACATAATTTTAGAAAGCCTGTGTTTATTAAAGGGAATTGCCTTTTTTCTCATTAATTAGACTATATCCATAGAGGTGGCATTTCTTTATCTTCCTTTCCCTGCATTTGAATAAAGTGCCAACCTAATTTAAATGCAGATATCAGCATTGTAAAATGAACTGCTAATAGCCAGTCACTTGTGTTACACACCTATAAGGCAGGAAAACTCTTGAGCTCATGAGTTCAAGACTAGCTTGGGCAACATAGCAAGACCCTATAGATTAAATAATGATTACTTTTTAAATAGAGCTTTCCTTTACTATTCTAATTTTTGAAAAGGAAATTATTGATTTTGCCTACCTGTATATATTTTAAATTATAAATAGAATCTCACTAAGGTAACATAGACTTATATATGGGTTTACATATTACAGCATAGGGAGGAATATTCCATTTACATGTTTTCTTGAGACGAGCAATGTAGCTAACAAATGTTTAGCATGGCTGGATACCAGTTCAATCCCCAGATATCAAATAGATCTTCCGAGGCAGTTAACCCTGATTTTTAATAAGGTTTTTTACACTGATTCTTTTCTTACACTATTCAGTACATGTCAGCATACATAGTTATAGCATTACATTACATGATACCTACATTGAGAATCCTAGTTGCTACCTGTAGATTATTTCCTGTTTTACAGCATTCTCTCTGGTAATCTTGTGCTGTCAATTGCACTTAGAGTATGCAAGAAACAAAATCTTTGTCTTAAGTTCCACTTTATTTGTAATATAATTGTCAGTGACTCTTCCTTAACTAAATTAATACCTCAGAATAAATACGACAATTTCCTTTGAAAAAATCCTTGGCTGATGATGACTCAGTGGTAAAGGTGTCTGTTGCCAAGCCCCAACAACCTGAGTTCTGTCTCAGAGACTCAGATGGTGGAAAGAGAACATACTCTCAACATGTATACCCCCTCCCCCAGTGCAAACTCTCTCTCTCTCTCTCTCTCTCTCTCACACACACACACACACACACACACACACACACACACACACACACAAACACACGATGGATAGATGATAAATAGATAAATAGATAGATAGATAGATAGATAGATAGATAGATAGACAGATAGATAAGTGATTTTTTTTAAAAAAGTATTTTTAAACAAACAAAACACTGTCTTTGTTCTTCACCCAGTCACAACACATGATTGACCATAGCAGAAGTTAACCTGTGGGAAACTTCTTTGTCAAAATTTTTATCTCATATGTAAGAAACCTGGTTTGTTTTAAAATACAATTAGTATGCATAAAGTGAATTGCTGTGTGAAGCAAAACACCAGCAGGAGTTTCCTCTCAAGGAAGCTAATCATCTTTTCAGGTCTGGAGAAAGAACTCAATACAAAGGGTATTTACCTGTGGCATCTGAACTGAACCAATATGTCCTCGTTTTAGATAATTAGGAAATGTTCAGAATACTGCCTGTGGTGCTTTTCCTGATGGCCTGCTGTTGATGTCTGTCAGTCAAGTAGTCAAGACACACAAGGAAGAAAATGACTTTAATTTTCTTAAAACATGTAAAAGAACAAACAAGTCTATACATGCACACCAACTGAGCCACCTCTCCAGCAGATACTTTAAAGTGTCCATATTACAAGGCATTAATCTGTGGAAATTGAATAGGTCTTGATAGCACAATTTATTTTTCATTTTCCTTCTTCACATTTGTTAAAGGTATAGAAAGAATACAGATTAAATTCAGAGGCAGAAATTTGGTGTAAAAGCACAAAAATTCTTTTGATTAAATAATTTCCTAGCATTTCTTAGAGAAACATTCAGTGTGCTCCTAAATGCAGCTCGTTGTCAAAAATAGAGATTGTTCACATGTCAAAGCAGTAGTGGATGTGCAGAATCCTCCCTTTCTGAGTGTCTACCTAACCCTTCAGGGAGACTTTGAATGCTTCCTAGTGACAGTGCTGGTTCAAGGGGTTAGTTCAGGATAGTAATAATTAATTGTAAATTGAGAAACAGCTTTGGTTCTTCAAACTAGAAAAACCTGATGTGCCACAGTCATTTAAAGGCTAACAAAATAATACAATGCAGCCTCACAGGCTCAGCTGTGTTGCAGTATTCAAAACATTTCATCCTTTCCAGAACAAATGAAGTAAAAATAAAGTCCCTATCCTCATTATGAAAACCAACTCTAAGTGTGTATTTTAAAAGGTTTCTATGCTTCTAAGATTAAATAGTTGTTGTTTTTTTTTTTTATTTTAAAGCAAATAGTATAAATTAGTTCTTTGGATGTGCCTAGCAGAACTTCATCGCTATAATTACATGGCCGCAGAAAAGGGGCGGACAGGGGTGATAAAAGCTGGGGACACATTAGTCAAACCTTTCTTCATACCTCAGTCCTCATCTTAAAATTTTATTCTAACATTTCTGTTTAGCTCACAGTTTTGCTTATCTTATGCTTGTGGATAAATACGTTATTTAATAGGATTTTCCCCTTTTCTCCTTTTTACTCGAAATTTGATTCTTTTCCTGTGGTATAGTATCGGTAATTTTATGTACCCTACAATAACAAGAAGCTTTAGAATTTTGCTCTCTTTAAAATAGATGTCTGAGCTGTTCCGTATATCATGTTTGTTTGTCCCTTCTTCTCTTTGAAGGCTTACGATGGATTTGCCAGCATTGGAATTTCCCGTTTACTGGAGCCTTCTGATATGGTTTTATTAGCAATCCCTGACAAACTGACTGTTATGACTTATCTCTATCAAATAAGGGCACATTTTAGCGGTCAAGAGCTAAATGTGGTTCAGATAGAAGAAAACAGCAGTAAAAGTACATATAAAGTCGGAAATTATGAAACAGATACAAACAGTTCTGTTGATCAAGAAAAATTCTATGCCGAGCTGAGCGATCTGAAACGGGAGCCTGAGCCGCAGCGGCCATCCAGCGGGGCAGTGGACTTCCTGCCGCAGGACGACTCAGTGTTTGTAACTGATAGTGGAGTGGGAGAGTCAGAAAGTGAACACCAGACTCCAGATGACCACCTTAGTCCAAGCACAGCCTCCCCTTCCTGCCGCAGGACTAAAAGTGACACAGAGCCCCAAAAGTCCCAGCAGAGCTCGGGAAGGACTTCAGGGTCCGATGACCCTGGGTTAAGTTCTAGTGCCGATGCAGCCCAAGCACTGGTTTTGTTAGGCAAGAAGAGGCTACTGAAAGCTGAGAACTTAGAATTAAGTGACTTTCATGTCAGTGGTAAAAAGAAGGATGTCTCTCCACCCTCAGTTTGTGAGCAAAAGCTTCAGACTGTAAACACCAGCAGTGACTGGGAACAAGAGAAAATAGAAAATTCCAGACCTTCAGAATGCAGATCGGATGGCGAATCAGCTATCAAAAAGCCAAGTTTATCCCCTCCTTCCAAACTTGGATATTCATACAGTAGAGATGCAGACTTCACGAAAAATGTCTGTGCTTCTCTGCGGCAGGCAGAGTCTGATCCAGATTCAGACAGAAACACTTTAAACCATGCTGATCCCTCCACCAGAGCAGTGCAGGTAAGTGGGCCAGAAGCATGGGTATATGTTTAGTAAATAGCTACTCTGTCTTTTTATTTTTTTGTGTTGATAGAACACTTAAGGATGTTATACATGAATAAAAACTACGCCTGCTGTATATTTAAAGTTTGTATTATAATTTTGTAAGCCCAACTTTAGGTTAAAGACAAAGAATGTCAGCTTTTCTCAAAATATCATTACTAGTGATGGAAAAATGGTTCAGCATTTAAGAGCGCTTACTTCTCTCCCAGAGGACCTGAATTCAGTTCCCAGCCCTATGTGGTGACTCAGCTACCTGGAACTCTGGTCCCAAGAAGTCTAACACCTTCTTCTGGCCTCTGCACAGATCTTGCATTCATTTTGTATACATAAACTCATACAGGCTCACATGTATACACATAAAAATTAATAAAGCTTTTTTAAAGTGTTATTATTTATAATAAATAGTATTTACCATTAGACTGTCAAAAAAGTTTGGCATGGTACCTCCTGTAGTCCTAATACTTGGGACTCTGATGCAGAAGAGCCAAGAGTTCAAGTCCACCCTTGGATTAGAAAACCCTGTCTCAAACTGAAGATCAAGGACATTTCAGTGTTGCATTTAATGCGAACCTAATTCTAAAATGTATATGCAGATTATGTGCTTTCCATTCAAAGCACTGTCCTTAGATATTTTAGTTGCAATAGAATTACATTGTCAGTTATATCATTACTTATAACTTAAATTCATTGCCTCCAAGGCAGGGCAGTATACAATACCAGCAGTCTGAGACAGGAGAATTATTAGTTTGAGGCTATCCTGGCCTACATAGCAAATGCCAGGCTATCCTGGGCTAAATAATGAAACCCTGCTTTGAAAAAATTAAAATAACAATTCTAGTAACATCCATATTTCTTACCACAAGGGAAATATAACATAGTGTTGAGCTCTCACCCATGATATTTGTTATTGATCCTTTGCTGGGTGGGGGGGCAGAGAGGAGAGAGAGAGATTTCAGTAGAACAATAAAAACTTTGCAAATAAAATATGACACCCGCTTTTCTTTTTCTTTTAAGTTTATTTTCACTCTGTCTACTGTATATATGTGTTTGTGAGTACTTGGGAACCAGGAGGCAATGTCAAGAATCTTTTTCTCTCCCTCTCAACTTTATTTTTGAGACAGGGTCCGTCACTGAACTTAGGGCTCATCAGTTCCTCTGGCCTTACTGGTCCGTGGGCTCTAGGGATTTGACTATGTCTGTTACCCCAGGCTAGTCTTACAGACACACAACCTGGGTCTTCACATGGATGCTAGGGATCTAACTCAGGTGCCTATGTAGTAAAGGGACAGGAGCTTTATAACTCAGCTGTCTCCCTGGTCAAAATACGGTTTTCATAGGAGGATTTTTTTCTTATAGTTATTGCAGGTGCTCTTTGAGACTTAGACATAGATCTTCATCTCCTACCCCACACAGCCCTTCTTTCTTAAACAGGGACTTATGTGTCTCAGGTTGCCTCCAGCTCACTATGTAGATCTGCCTACCTTCACTTCATGAGTGCTAGGATTAGAGACATGAGCCACCGCACCCAGTGTGTGTGGTGATTGGGATTGAAGCCAGGCTTCAACTACAACTACATTTTCAACACATTTACATGATCATTTAAAAAGACAATTTTTAAGCAAACTAAACTGAGTAAGGTATTTCTAATTTTTTTTTCACTTTTACAAACTAACTCTTCTGAATCACTCTGTGATTTAAAAGTGTTGGTAGTCCCCAATCCCCAGAATTCTCTGTCTGCCAATGCATGACAGTTCTGAAGCTTTCCTTAGCATAGTATTTGAGAGCCTGGAGAATGTAGCTCAGAGCAGGAGTCCTTACCCAGTACGCTTGAGGCCCTGGGGTCAATTCCTGATACTGGAAAACAAAACAAAACTGGGACCATGAAGCTCTTTGAAACCCTTTTAAATAATACCCAACGTTAAAACAATTGCATTCTGTGATAGTATTTATCTTTATCACTATTGTCCTCTCACAAATAATGTTTTCTGAAGCTGTATGATTCCTGTATTCCAGCACATTGACTGCAAGCATCAGGAAGTTCCCCTGCTCTTTTTCTTTTTAGGTTTGTATTATTATAGATACACTCACTCACTCACACACACAAATACATACACACTCACACACACATGCACAGACAACTTGCAAGAGTTGGTTATCTCCCTTACGCGGGCTTCAGGGATTGAAGTCAGGTCATCAAGCTTAAAAGCAAGTGATTTTTCTTTCTTTCTTTCTTTATTTTTTTCCTGAGTTCTTAGCTGTTTTTTTTTTTAAATGAAAATGGAAAGTGCTAGTCCTTATTAGTTTGTGTTTGTTTTTAAAGCCAAGGGTTTTAATTAAAATGTTGCTATTTTAATGTGTTTGGATATTTCTAAATGAAACACATTTTTCAAATTTCTCAATTTCCCCAAAATAGCCAAGATCCATAGGTATATTTCACATAAGCAAAACTCTTTGGTATTCATAGTAACTGTTAATCATGTATGTAAAGAGATCCTGAGCCCAAAAATTTAAGTACTTAAGAATTACAGCCTGTCTATCTTAGATTGTCTTCTAAGTCAGCAATACTAATTGATAAAAGTGTTTTCTTGACTTTACTTGGAAAATAATCCAAAGTTGTGTGCTTTTCTCATTTAGTATGTTAGTGCCACAGCCACAGGGTCCACGTCTGTTTCAACCAACCATGATCAAAGTGACTGGGGAAAATACTGTCTGAGTTAAACTGCCATATCCACAGGTCAAAGTGATTGGGGAAAATACTGTCAGAATTAAACTGCCATATCCACAGGTCAAAGTGATTGGGGAAAATACTGTCTGAACTAAACTGCCATATCCACAGTCAAAGTGATTGGGGAAAATACTGTCTGAGTTAAACTGCCATATCCACAGGTCAAAGTGATTGGGGAAAATACTGTCTGAGTTAAACTGCCATATCCACAGGTCAAAGTGATTGGGGAAAATACTGTCAGAATTAAACTGCCATATCCACAGGTCAAAGTGATTGGGGAAAATACTGTCAGAATTAAACTGCCATATCCACAGGTCAAAGTGATTGGGGAAAATACTGTCTGAACTAAACTGCCATATCCACAGGTCAAAGTGATTGGGGAAAATACTGTCAGAATTAAACTGCCATATCCACAGGTCAAAGTGATTGGGGAAAATACTGTCAGAATTAAACTGCACAGACTCCCTTTCTTCCATTAATCTGTAAAGTGTGCAGGCTGTGTGTTTTAGTGCAGGAGGATGTACGTAGGTTGTCTACTGTGCTGTTTTGTATAACTGGTACATACACCTGCACGAAGTCTGCAAGGGATCTGGGAACTAATTGTGAAGGAGGACTGCACTGACACATTGCAGTCATGCAGTCTGCATACCATGTGATGTGCAGGCAGACAGCTGTGTCTGGACTGTGATTGAGTTGCATAGATTGTAAGTTCCATTGTTGGCGAGTTTACAGAGGTGTGCTAAAGAAATGGGAATGTCAGGATCAAAGAAATACAGTAGTAGAGAAGGCAGAATTGATCAAAGCACAGTTTATGCATGCATGCATGCATGGAAATATCACAGTGAAATCCATTAATTGCACAATTATATGAGGTAATTTTTACAGTAAAAAAATACTGTAGCCTTCAAAAAAAGTTTCTGTTCCCGCAAAGGACAATCTTAAAGGTTCTAAGTAAGTGAATCTCCCTGAAGTTTTGTGATAGCACAGGGTTTATACACAATAGATACCCAATGAATATCTGCTGAATGACAGCTACAGTATTTGATGAACCTTAGCTCTTTCTAGCCAACACAGATTTTTCTTATAAACTATATTTTGAGGCAAATGTGTTTAAAGATAGAAATTAATTAATCATTAAATTAGGATAAGCTAAGAACCTGAATTCTCATTTTGAATTTTCCTCCAGTCATTAGCAATGTGATATTACCTGGCATTTTAAATTGTCAGTTTTGTTTTCCACAGAGGTTAAATGAACTAATATCTAAGAACCCACTTAACTCTAGAATTTGATTACGCTGTGAGTCCATGCACACGATTTGTGTGCTACACTGGATCGTGACAGTCCCCACTGACTTAGTGCCTTGTGTGCTTGTCCTTTGGTCATGCCAAACGTGCCAACTGTGATCTCAAAGTTCTGCAGAGGGTCAAGCCAAATGTGGTGACTCATGCCTGTAATCCCATCACTAAGGAGGCAGAGGGAGTTGGCTTGCCATGAGTTCCAGGCCAATGTGAGCTACACAAGACCATGATGGAAGGGAGGGAGGAAGGGAGGGAGGGAGGGAGGGAGGGAGGGAGGGAGGAAGGAAGGAAGGAAGGGAGGAGAGAGGAAGGGATAGAGGGAGGAGGGTTGGAGGAAGGAAGGAGAGAGGGAGGGAGGAAAGAGGGAAGGAGAGGAGAGGAAAGGAAAAAAGGAAAAGGAAGAAGGAAGGAAGGAATTAATTTTGCTTAGAATAAGTATAAAGGTTTGTTTGACACTAGGTTGACAAAAACAGTGTCTCACAGCAAAAATGTAATGTAGATGCTGATGTTTGGTAGGTTCTAATTGCAGCTAAATTTTATACAAATGTCTGCTTCCCTTTTAATACCATGTTATGAATTTCAGACATACATCTTTTTTATTTTAATATTTGTGAAATCTTTGAAAAAAAGATGTTATGTCAGAATTTGCTAGTGATTATTTTTCTTAATACTTACTAATATAGCGTGAATCTTAGGAGTATGTGCTCACAGGAGATGTGACAGTTTCATATGGACTTGTAGACACACCACTAAGTCTCTAGTACATATGATAGCAATTATGTAGCTCACCTAAGTCTTCCTTAAACTGTACACCATGTGAAGGGGTTGGAGCCTCTTTGGTGTATGGGAGAACAGCACTTACAGAGTTGCATATGGTTATATGATAAACTTGAAAGTTTCAGTTGAAAACCAACATTTTCTGACTGACATCCTTGCTCTTTATGTTCACGTATCTGTTTGATTTTTGATCATAATAGCGCTGAAAACACCCCATAGCGCAATTGTACCGCAGTCAGTTGGCTGAAGGGCATCTTAGCAATGTGTGTCAAGTTACCCTAGAAATGTTTGTGTTGGGGCTGAAGAAGTATGAACTCCTGAGTATGGATCCCCAATGCTCACATTAAAAGCTGAGTGGGAAAGAGTGCATTTATCATCCTGGTGAAGGCAGGCTGATCCTGGGACTCCCAGGCTGCTAGCCTAGCCAAGCTGTGGGAGAGACCAGAGTCCATGTCTATAAAAATAAGGTAGAAAGTAATCAGGGGACACCCAACTTGACCTCTGGCCTCCACATGCATACACTTACACACACACACACACACACACACACACACACACACACACAAAATGTTTATGTTGACCAGGCTCAATGACTCACAACTGAGTTCCAGCTATATGGGAAGCTTAAGCAAGAGAATTATTTGAACTCTTTGGAAAAAAAAAAAGCTTGATCAACGGCATGTGGCTATCAATCACAAGTTCTCTGAAAACTTCATCAGGAGGATCACAAATCTGAGGCTAGCCTGAGTAATTTATCAAGACTGTATCTCAAAATAAAATCGAATATGGCTGGAACGTAGCACAACAATCCTAAATTCAATCCCTTGTACCACCAAAACCTAATATATTACTCTTAGAAATGTTTCCTAAGAAAATAAGATTCAACATTTATGTGTAAAGATGATGTTCATAAAAGCATTTATGGTAGTGAAAAACTTGCCAACACCTCATATATCCAGTACAATAAAGTATTATGGATCTATATAATTGGATTATGGCAGCCTGTTAAGAATCATGTTTTCAAGAGAAATATATATGGTCATCAGAAAATACTTCCTTGCAATCAAATATTAAGTAAAACAAATGTGGGGAGGCTAGGTATATCATGTGAGCGCAGTGTAGAAAGGTGGGTGAGATGATACAGTAATGATCTGAGTGCCATAACTATAAACTACTGTTATTTTTACTTGCATTTATTTTCCAAAATCCCTGTAATAAAAATGAAGTACATTTTGAATGTGAAACAAAGTGTTTATGTGCTTTTAAGATCAAAACATATTGTGTGGCAGCTTGGGGTTGTGGACTGCAGAATTTAGACTCTATGGGTCTTCAGGCAGGTCAGTCCCTTTATTTCTAAGATAGAGAAATTGATGGGGTTACCATACAGTAATGTTTAATCTCCCTCTTGTCTTCCCATGTGCCAGTGTTTTTATGTCACTTGCTTACAATGTGCTGTGTGAGATGGTCTACTCTGATGCCCATTTTACACAGGAGGAAACAGGCACAGAGAGATTAACTTGCCTCTAATTAAGAAATGGAGCTAAGATCTGATTCTTAAACTCTGAAACTAATATGGATATTGTGCTTTTTTTAATATATCTTTTAAGAACTGGCTTCCAGCTGGGCATGGTGATGCACACGCCTTTAATCCCAGCACTTAGGAGACAGAGGCAGGCAGATCTCTGAGTCTGAGGCCAGCCTAGTCTACAAAGTGAGTTTCAGGGCTACAGAGAACCCCTGTCTGGAAAAACCAAACAAACAAACAAAAGAACTAGCTTCCATTGGTGGCCAATACTTCTTACTCTCCAAAAATGCATTGTAAAATTACTCAGTCCATAATATTTTCTATTCTGATAAGATTGTTTCATTATGAAGAGAATTCCCAGTGGAGAAGAGTCTTGTGGGTTCTTTTCACGGAATATAATAGCATTTAGTGGAGTGTGGTGGCACATGCCTGTAATCCCAGAATTCTGGTGACAGAGGCAAATAGATTGAGAATGCAAGGCTAACCTGGATTCTCTACATAAAGAATGCAAGGCAAGCTTGGGCTACATAGTGAGGCTTTTGACTAAATAAACAAAAAAATAACAGCTTGGGGTTTTCTATAAATATTTCCAAAAGTTTAAAAGAATATTGCCACAGATATCATAGCATTGAAAACTTTTAAAGTAGACATACATAGTTGTCAGTTCTATTAGACTATAAAAATAGAACTGAACCTTTTATTACATCTTTGGTTGGTAGATTATACTGTGTTTATGAGAAAACATGAATATATAATCTAATATTGACACATACCTTATGAGAATATGTTCAAATAAAATCTAATGAAGATTGCCCGGCTGGTATAAGCACTGGCCATGTAAGCCTGATGACCTGAATTTCATTCCCAGAACTCACAATGGAAGAAGAGAAACAACTCCCCAAAGTTGCCCCATTACACTCACACATGCACTATGGTATGTGTTCACCTGTACTTGTGCACACACTTCATGCACACACACAGTAATAAAATTAAAAAATTTAAAATACATTGAAATTTCATCTAGTATTAAGAAATGATATCATGTCTCATTTATGTCAGAATTTATGTATTCGTTCTACAGTTTCTTCTCAACATGAGTATTTTCTGTAAGTAGTCCTGTTAAAAAGGCTGTACACCTGACTTTTTATTTTAATAGGTAGTCTAACTTTTAGCTGTATTTTTATGATTTGGCTTCTAATTCTCCATCTTTGTTTTTAAGCAACGAATGTTGTCCAGACAAGAGGAGCTGAAGGAAAGAGCGAGAGTTCTGCTTGAGCAAGCAAGAAGAGACGCAGCTTTCAAGGCGGGGAGCAAGCAAACCGGCAGCACAGCCCCTCCGCTCTACAGCAGGCAGCAGCTAAGTGATGTGAGGAGCGCTGGTTACAGAAACCTCGAGTTGTTCCTAGTGATCCTAACTGTGAAGGGTGATGGGGAGGGACTGCTCAGTTCCTTTACCCTAACTAACTGTGAAGGGTGATGGGAGTGAGTGCTCAGTTCCTTTACCCTAACTAACTGTGAAGGGTGATGGGAGTGACTGCTCAGTTCCTTTACCCTAACTAACTGTGAAGGGTGATGGGAAGGGACTGCTCAGTTCCTTTTCATAGGCTGTCCATTGGGGGTATGTGGTCCCTTAGTCAACTGATGAATCCATCCAGTGGGACAAACCACACCGTTACTACTGCTGTGCAGTGCTGCTAGCTATGAGAAAGAGCACAGTTCTGGACTAGAAATTACATCTATACATACCTGGTTTGTTCATTTACATTTTATGACGAACCATAGTCTATGTAAGATTATATTTCTCCAGAGAATTTTGTTAGAAGCACTAGTATATAATAATACCCGTTTTTATTGAGTATCTGTAGTGTGTATTTTACATAACTTCATGAAGATATTCACACTACTTCCCATATAAGAAGACTGAAGCTGATCGGCATCTTTACATTCGGATTTTTAGAAGGTCTCCTGGTCAGTACATGGTAATCAGGGTTTTGAACCTGAGCCTTATTATTTCCCAGAGTCCATGAATTTCCTTGTCAAACCTACTTTCCTATATTAAGTCCCATTTTCCCCACATTTCATTTTTGTGGAGTACATCACAAATAATAGTGAACATACAACAGTAGAAATCATTCAGTATAGTAAGATATGAAACGTCTCGTCATTGAAAACTGATAACCCTACTTACCACCAAACTCACACATAAAATCACTCTCTATTTTAAGTCTTTGTAAATGCCTGCTTAACGATCTCCAAGCCCTTGGATATTGTTTCTAAACTGTAGGTCTTTATGAATAAGGAGGTATAAAAGTTTATTAAGCCATTGTTTTTAACAAAAAGAAATAGAACAGAATAGAAAATAGAATGTATCAAAATTTATTACATTTAAAGGGGTTTTGTGTGTGTGTGTGTGTGTGTGTGTGTGTGTGTGTGTGTGTGTGTGTGTGAAACTTTTCCTTTTCAGTATTTTGATCTGTGTGCTTACTGGCCCTGAGTAAAATGTATTTTTAACTATACATCATGATCATGAAAAATACTAATCTGAGATGATGTAATGGCTCATGCTTATAATCCCAGCACGCAGGAGGCTGAGGCAGGAGGATTGCTATGAGTTTGTCAGCCTGGGCTATATAGTGAGTTCCAGGACAGCATTGGCTACAGATGCTATCTTAATAAAACAACAGCAAAAAATAATGAGAAATAAAGAAAAATACTAATTTTAAGGACTGTTCTAAAGAAGAACATATAGACTTTATATTAGCTTTTTCAATGCTTAACCATCTATTATATCAGTAGTTTATAGACTTGTTTGCCAGATAGATTTGTTGTATATCTGAAGCAAGTCTGGTCACAGTAACAGGGAAAATGGCTGTTTCTCACATGAAATTTATATTCTGGGGGGAGAGAGATGGTAAGTAATTACAGGGTATGAAAACTGCGTGTTGTAGCAGAGATGACTCAAAAAGGGGATGCTTGGTGACCTGAAAGAGGGGGCCATCCCAGTGAAGAAGCGCAGAAAGAATACTTCCTCAAAGGCTTTTTAATGGTAGTAAGTGGTGTTTTATTGATGAAGAGTGTGTTTCATAGTCTCTCAAGTACTAAAAGCTGGACAGTCTGTTTCTAATTATCTGAATATAGCTTTAGAATATAAGTAAATTAAAAATATGCTGTGAATTGATTTTAAGTTCAGAATACTTGGTATCTAAATTATTTGTCCACCTGCCTCTGCCCTCTGAGCGCTGGGATTAAAGGCATGTACCAAAATGACTGACTTCATGGTCCTTACGTTGTAATACACAGAAACTGGACAAAATTATATGTGTATCAACAAAGAATGAGTAAACACATGACTTGTTCATATGAAAGAATGCAGTTTAAGCATCCGTAATTTGAAAATCCAAAATCCCAAATGTTTCAAAATCCAAAGCACTTCCAGCCGTGAGGAGTGGGGTACTCAGCATGTACTGCTTGGTGATACAAAGTCTCAAGCCCCTGAGATCCACAGTAGCTTAAATAAATAAGAGACATACTGAGATACAGTATTTACCTGTAACCAGCCTGCACATCTGGAACAGGATGCCAAGAAGCTGTCACTGCTTACCCAGAGGTAGGGGGAAAGCTTAGTGATGGGGGATAAGCAAACTCTGTAGGTGGGTGGGAAGTGATAATGTGAAGCTTTACTTTCTCAATAGATAAGTGTTAAAATGTATTAAGCTGAAAATGGATGCATATCACCAAGTGTAAATCATACCTCCATAAAATTTATTGTTTTAATATTTAGTTGTGTTTCTATGTGAAAAATACAAAAAAATTTTAGAAATTCTATTATAGTAGCTCCAAAAGTAATGTGCATAGAGTAAGTCCAAAGAGATGCATAATAAATGTAAGTCGAACAGAAAAGGAAGACATTCTGATAGAAAGGACTATCTCATTTTAATTTATTTTACTGTAATCATAATGCTTACCATGAGACCAACCCTCTTAATTTTTAAGTTCAAAACTATAGCTTCAATGCAGATTTTTTTAATTATTTATTTTTATTTCATGTGCAGTTTTTGTGTTTTTCCTGCATGTATGTCTGTGTGAAGGTGTCAGATCCCCTGAAACTGGAGTTACAAGCAGTTAGGAGCTGCTGTGTGGGTGCTGGGAATTGAACCCAGGTGCTCTTAACTGCTAAGTCATTTCTCCAGCCTCTTCAATGCAGACCTTTAAAACTTAATCATTTCCTAACCTGTAGCTCTGCGCCTGTTGATTAGTATCTTCCTATGTCCCCCTCTTTTTAGCTCCTGGCAACCATTATTCTACTCTTGGAGGTGATAAATTGAACTCTTAAGTACCTCATATAAGTGGAACCGTGATGTTTGTCTTTCTGTGGCTGGCACTTGTTTACTTGCTTGAGCCAAGATCATGCTAGGTCCCTGACTGGCACTGAACTCACTACATAGACCAGACTGGCCTTGAACTCACAGAGATCCTCTGCTGTGAGTGCTGGCATTAAAGGCATGTGCCACCACGCCCAGCCCAATTTGAATTCTTTTGTCTAAACCCAGAAGTGGGGTTTCTGGATTGTACTGAGTAGTTCTGTGTTTAGGGTTAAGGAACATTCATACTGCTGCTCATAACAGATGCATCGACTTATTCTGCAGTTTGCAAAGGTGCCACTTTCCCTGTTTTCTTACCACCGTTTGCTGGGTTTCAGTATCTGTTGGTCTGGTTTAGAGTTTTATTCAAACATGGGCTTGTGTGTTCTCCAGGCTGGCCTTGAACTCTTCATCTTCATGCCTGAGTCTGAGTGCTGAGATCACAGGCCTGTTCCCACTCTAGGCTCAATCTTCTGTTTTGAAGAACAGCTGTGCTAACAGGTGTGAGGGGATAGATAGCTCTGTGTGGTTTTTATCTGAATTCCCCTGATGACTACTGATCCTGAAAGTACCCAAATATTCTCCAGATTTTTATTTAAACTCCAAGTTTGGGTTTTTGCTGTTGTTTTTGTTTCTTAGTTTGTAGCTATTGACTTTATATAATTTTGATATTAACTCCTTACTGAATACGTGGTTTAGATATTTTCTCCTGTTCTGTAAGTTGTCTTTTATGTCTTTTATACTGTATTGCATTAGCCTAAGTAGTCCCATGGCCCGACTCAGGTCAAAGGAGAGAAGGCATAGATCCCACCACTCAGTAGGAAGAGTAAGGTCACTTTCTAAGAGCATGTGACAGGCGCTGTTGTTGGAGTGTTTATCTTCTCAGTTAAAAGTTAAGCTCAATTGAAAACACTCTCTTCTTGTGGTGCTTCATTTTTCAGGTACCCAGCCCTGTCAGTGGATAGTAGCAGTCTGCTGAACTGGAGAGTGTATTTCAGATTATTGCTAGTCTTCCACACTTGATACTAACGTAAGACAAAGCATGTAAAAAGCCTGGGTGTGTCCCATTTCACAAATATGAGAGGTAGACCTTGCCATTCCTTTTATATGACATTGGATACAATGTTCGTACATTTTCAAGGACAAAGTAGTTTTCCTAATTTGGTCATTTTCTACTGTTTCTGAGGAATTCTTATACAAAGGAGTGGTGGTGGTGGTACACTCCATAATTTGGAAAACAACTTGGATGACAAAATAAAAATGAAAATGCCCAATTTCGCGTCTGAGCAATTGAATGTAAGTGAAAGTGATATTAAGACAGGAAATTACCTCTGTCCCTGATTCTGTTTTTCCTTTGTAAAAGTTTAAGAAAAACTTCTTTTTCCTTGCTTTGCATTGAAATTAGCAGGTGCCCATGTAAGAGGAACAAGGGAACAGACTAATGGCCACCTCCTCCACCTTAGGGTCAGGATCTCCACCTTCTGGAGAGATCAAAAGGCTTCTGTTAGATAAAAGTAGGTCTAACCCATCCCACCCCCACATGGTTTGAGTTTCCTTTCAGTGAAACGATTTTTGCTGTTTTTACATTGATTATACTCTAATTTGTGCTTTAATTTGTAGAAGTCTTAGTTTTTAAGACATTGTTGTCTGTCTTACCCTTTGTATATTGTATGGTAGGTACTGAAAGTCAAAGTACTGAGCTGGGAGACATGCACTGTTCATTCTTAGAGTAACTGAAAAGTCCCAGGAGTTGAAAAAAAGTAAATAAAAAGGTTGGTATCCAAAAGTGACCTTCAGTCTTGGAGAAAATGGATACTAACCTTAGACTCTTCAAGAGTTTACTGAAGGCCTAAAGTAGTGCACACACCTTTTATCCCAGCACTCAGGAGGCAGAAGCAGATGGATCTCTGTGAGTTGGAAGCCAGCCTGGTCAACTGAGTGAGTTCCAGGACAGCCAGGGCTACACAGAGGAACCCTGTCTGGGTGGTAGTGGTGATGGTGTTTA